GCTCATGCTATATAGAACTTACCTGTCAGAGTAGCACTTGGCCTCACAGACCTGGAACCAGGAGGACTGCTGAATAGTCCTTTTGGTACCCCGGTGCTCTTTTCTTTTCAGCTTAAGTACTGAGTATGTGCTGTGTGACATCTTGCACAGAGCTTGGGCTCTCTGTTCAGCAGCCCTGCGTCTGAAGTACGGCTTGACCACTGCCTAGCTGTGTGATCCTGGCACATTACTTTTATCTTTCTGAGCCTGTTTCGTAACGAAAATGTGACTTTTATCTTTCTGAGCCTGTTTCGTAACGAAAATGTGGATGATAGCACCACCTTGCAGAGTTCCCTTGAGAATTATGTATGTAATGCATAAAAGTGACTGAATTATAGTACCTCAATAAAAGTTCCTTTTCCTCTTAAGAGGATTCAGACTAAAGATTTATTCCGGTTAAAGATGATTCTATTGTGTCTGTCTCAAGACCAGCAACAGAACCCTTTCCCTTTTCAGGGGAAAAGGAAGAAAGAGTCACTTTTACTCTCCTATATGTAACTGATGAAATCAGTTAGTGCAGTAATTCCCAGAGAACAAAAGCTTCATACAGGACTACCTCATTCTGCTATACCAAGAGGTACAGTAGCATCCTACAATCGCTGTCAGCCATACAGCAGTTGTGACAGGGTTGTCATTACCTGCCTGTGCATAAATTTGGTAGTAACTGTTAATATTATCACTGCTTTAATTTAATTATGTGCATTGTTGAGTCTGCACATGTTTAATTGCCGTTTAAAATGTCTTCAAAACTGCACTATGATTCAGCATTGAAATGTAAAGTCACTGTGAATGTTGAAAGGTGCCGGAGCAGAGAAGCAGAGTATATACATTTGCTGTTAGTGAAGCAGATATTCCCATTTATATTTTCTAGAACAGCAACAAATAAGTGCTTTCTTGGACCTAAACAGGAAGATCACTTCTAGTAGATGGATTTTTGTTTTGTTTTGTAACTGAGGTACCCTTGGAAAAACATGGACGTTTATGCCTCTGAATCAGAAAAGGATTCAGATGAGTTGGATTCTGAATATGAAGAAGTTTTTTTGGAAATAGCTTACCCAATTTATTTTGCTATGCTTTATTTTTAATATATGCCCAAGAGTGATAAAAGGTTTTTAAAAATTTGTCCAAGTGATCAGAAAGTCATGAACCATTGTTTCCTTGATAGTTTTTCCATTCTTGATGGTACATTAGAAAGGAAAGGCACCCTCCCTGAAGAAAGGAAAAAGCAACCCTGCTGAACTCAGTAGAGTATACAGGTGACAAGAGTATGCTTGGGAGTCAGAAATCCATGTGGAGAGGACATGTACATGTAAGCATCTCCCATTCATCCTGGCATCTTGAGCATTCTTGCTAGCAGTTTGGCAGATATTCTAGAGCGAGTATCCTACCGAACCAGGGCTGGAACAAGAAACCATTCTGTGGGTAATAGGAGAATGGGTCCAATGGTGCCAGCCATGCCAGTTGCTCAGAGAGAACCCTACTGTGTGCTGCTCTTGTGCTGGGTACCTCAGAGGTTGTCTCTAATCTCTACAACAATCCTGAAAGATTCCACTAGGCTAGATACTGCCTTTTTAGGAAACGTTTGCTAGAATATAACAAAAGATAAGAAACAGCCCTGTCCTTTAATTTTTAGTAATTCCATGTCTGGGAATTTGTGCACATGAAGGTGTTCATTTTTATCACAGTGTAACTTTAATAGTGAAAAGTTGGAAGCAGCTTAATGTCTACTCTAGAGATAACATTTGATAAATTACAATACATCCATACTTGGTGGAACATTATAGTCTTTAATAGTCACAAAGATTATAGAACAATCTGGGAAATGTTCATGTAGCCAATGAGAAAACAATACAATGTATGCACTTTATAATTTCAAAGATAGAAAGCTTTTTATTTGAGTCAGTAGTATTAGAAAGGAATCCAAAAGAAAAAGTAATTGTGTTAGGATAACATGTCACAGGTAGATGTTTTTCTCCCCAGACATTTACTTTAAAAATAAAATGACAAAGAAGAGGTTTCCAAGAAACTGAGTCAGTAGCTACAATCACTATTGAGGTATATTGAGAATAGAAATAATTTTCAGAGCATACCTAGAATTACCCAATTGCACAAGTACCACATTGAGATGTTCAGGAAATTCTGGATTTCATTTTCTTTTCTCTCAACACTTTGAATTCATAATTATGTATTTGCAGAGCAAACATGCAGTAGATTCAGGGGAGTATCTGAGGCTTTGTAAGTAAATGATGACAGTGTAAAAGGTATTTGTCCAAATTTGCATTCATACAAAACATGGAACTGCTATGATTTTAGAATAAATGTGTTTAAAATATTTTCTAAATACAGAGCTGTTGCAGTTCTAACAATACTTGGCTAAGAAAACTACATTTCTACGATAGGCCATAATTACTCTTTGGAAAATTATTGGGCTTTAAGAAATTCCTATCTAAAGATAGTTGAAGAATGAGTTCCATTTTGCCCTTTCTTGCATCTTCAGTCTCTTCTGTGAGGCCCCTTTTTCCTTTCAGGGTATCATTGGTTTTTATTGTAGGACAAAAGGGCATGGCATTAAAGTCTACATACGTAAGATCCTATGGTTAAGTTATACAAAGGGCTTTTGCTGTACATACTTATTTTCAGCCATTTGAATGTCTTTTTCTGTGTATTAACTTATTTGTTGGAATTTCAGTTCTACAGTTCTGGTTAAAACTCATGATCATTGGTCAATTGCATGATTAAATGTAGGAGATGGGAGAGGTGATAAGATTTAGTTAAACATTATGGATTTGAGCTTTCTCCCTTCTATGTGTTAGGCTGTGCTTCTGGTCACATTAATAAGTGGCCGTTTTTCTGGAATTTGTACTCTTCCTGCTTCCTTTCATTACATTAGGCAAGGTTCCACTAGATGAGACATTTGCAGTCTTAAGACTTCCTGCCAGGGTTCAGACTTTGTATTTTTGACATTGAAGCTGTCGTGTTCCTGAAGCTACTTAATTAGAAACACATTCATTTCAGTGTACACTGGAAAAAGCTTGGACAGCAGAGCCAGGCACACTGGGAAGTTTGAGCATTTGTGTGCGCACTGGGAAGTTTGAGCATTTGTGTAGCTGGCAGCTAAACTAATGGTTTACAGTTTAAGGGGGGGAAAAAATCACAGGGCATTTCTTTGCCCCTAGAAGTGAAGAGAAGCTGACTGTGCACAGCAGATACCTTTAAAAGGAAAAAAAAATAAAAATGAGAAAAGAAGAGGAAGAAAGAAAAGACAACTCCACTTTCACTGCAGTTGTGTGTATAGTTCTTTCTTTAGCTATTATCAAATACAAAAACCTTCTAGAATAGTTAGCAAACTGAGCTGCTAATATTCAAGTCTGTTTTACATGTTCCCAAGACATACTATATTACTGCTGAGATCTGTGGTAAGCAGGACATTTTATATTCTGGGGGAAGGAAGGATTTTTGCCTGAATTTTATTTGTTGAATGGAAATGAAGGAATTGTGCCCTTTCTTATTTTTAAATGTTTGAGCAATTTTAAAATGTACGTGTGATGTTTAGAAACCTTCCTTGCCTATCCATTGCTTTCAGGATAAAGCCTGAACTCCTTAGTATTCAGTTGAAAGCAAATCTCTCCTATCTCATTAGTCACCACTCCTTGTTTCTCCACTTTTTTTTCCCCCCAAAGAGTCATCACTGTCCAACTGCCTCTACTCTACCAGCTTCCCCAGAAGAAAAGTATCTGGTCACCCCAGTCTGAGTCAAGTATCTTTTCTCTAGGTTCACAAAATACCATCTGCACATTTCATAGGATATATCCCCTACTGGAGAGACAGATGGAAAAGTTGCCAGTCACACCCTTCCTTTCTATTCTTTGACCTCCCTCCCCTAACCCAGAGGAAAACATTACATGGGAAGTGAGCTTGGGGATTTCAGGTTCTATATCACTAAGTCAGTGTGGCACAAGAGAAGGAATGCATACTTCAGAGTCAGATCCCAGGTCTACCACTGACTTTGTTCTGGAGTATTTGGTAAGTGATGTAACCTCTTCAGGCCTAGTCCCTTCTCTGTAAAATGGGTTTTGTATCTACCTTGTGTGGTTGTTATGTGGATTAGAATAGAAGAATTTAAAGTTCCTCATGTAACGTCTAGCACATTTGTTATTGGTAGGTAACATTAATGATAACATGTATATATATATATATATATACACACACACACACACACACTCTGACCCCTAAAACCAAAGACAGGACCAGTGTATCCAAAATGCCCAGGTTTTAAACCCACTGGAGTTGAGTTATTATGCTTTTGCTCAGTCACTGACTTAGGGAACCCACGGCTCTGTGAATGAAGCAGTTGGCAGAGGCTTTCTGAATTATAGTGTCACGGGATGGCATGTGTACAACTGGGAGGAGATGCTTGCTGGCACCTTTCCAAACACTTTGTCCAATCAGAATGGACAGTTAGATCACATCTTGATGACAGAGGAAGCAGCAAATACAAAATATTCTTCTGTGAAACACATTATGCCCTTCATCCAACCTTAACTGCTTTTTCTGTTGTAATCATGGCAATAATCGTTCCCATTTGTATTAGAACTCTGCTGATCACTTAACATATATTTTCTTTGATTCTATTAACAACATGCTGGCTCAAATCCAGGATTCCATTTTAAAGATAAGGCAACTGAGGCTGTGCAGTTGCTGAGTTGCTCTTTAGGGGCTGATACCAAGGTTGATGCTCTTCCTGCTACCCATGCTGTTTCCAGTGCTGCCCACGTTTTGAAATTCTTCTGAAGTTTCTAGGCTTGGGAACAAAATGTCATATTAGGATTTTGTTGTGAAAGGAAATGTAACTGTGCATACGTTTATTAAAACAGTTTTTCTCCAAATAGTGAACCATCTGTAATTTTCTGTCAGAAGCAACAGACATTAAAGCAGCTGTGTGTCTCTGTTTCTCTTCACAGTGCTCCCATGCCCTACCTCATAGGAATCCATTTAAGTTTAATGGAGGTAAGTTGGCTTCTTTCCTCCCCAGTTGGCTCTACCTGGGGCTTTGTTTCATTGTGTGGCGGTGGAGAGACCAGTCTCAGGAATCACAGCTCTGCACATGGGGGCTTGCTGACGCAGCACCTCCCAGGTGCACAGAGCTGGGCGTTTAGCTTGGACACTTTTTACTGGGCTCTTGTTTCCAGGGTTTTCCCACTTTGCCCAGAGACTGTGGATTTTCATGGGTTGAGGGAGTGAGAGTCAAGGATGCAGGAGGAAAGGGTTCTTTAAGGGTTTGAATGAGGGAAGGAAGATGATTTGCATTTCAAAATGTTTATTCTAATCACTATAGCAATATTGCATTCTTCATGGCAGTAAATGTGATATAAAATGTATATAGAATCATGAGGAAGGAAATTAAATTATCCATGATACCATTATTCCAGATTGAACCATTGTTAGCATCTTACTAGTCTCCCTTTAGTCTTTATTCCCTAAATATTTGTTTTGTATAAATATGCATAATTGATATGCTTTATAATTTTATGACTTTAATTTTAATTCCCATGGCTTGGGAATTTCTACATGTTTTTCTCTACTCTCAGTAATAATTTTTAATTTGCCACCTATCATTCCCACTATTTGGATATACCGCAATGTAACCATTTTCCTACTGTTGGACGCTGAGATTGTTTATAATTTTTCACTATTATAAATAGCATTTCAGCGAACATCTTTATGCATAAGGCTTTATCTGCATTTTGCCTCATTTCCTTAGCATAGAACCCCTAAAGTAGAAATGCTTGGTCAAAGCTATGCATCGGATGCCAGATTGCTTTCTGTATGGCTGTACCAATTAGATAGCAATTCTTTTAAAGCACTTTTCTGTGCTTTTGTAAGTGTCATTAGTTTGTAGACAAGTACCCCTAAGCCCTTTCCTCCTCAGGAGAGAGCTTTAATTTGTGCTAGAGCAAAAGGAGGCATGGGGAGGGGGTTTGCCTGTGTTGCACAGGAGATAAGCTCTCAGAGGGAAAATCTACAGCCATGTCCGTCTGCGGTGGTGCTTTGCATGTCTTGAAGGAAGTGCTACTTCTCTTCTTCTGTTCCCTTCATTTCACGTCGACGAGGACCACCTGCTTCACTAACTGTTGCACACTGTGCTATTGTGCTTACGAAAATGAAAGAAGTTGGTTATCGAAAAACCTGTTTGTTTGACATTGAGAATCTTGATCAAAATAGACCACAGAAATCTGCTCAAATTTCTAATTTGACAGGCCGGCCATGTGGCTCCTACATTCTGTTAACAGTTCCTCCTTGTCATCACCCAGCCCTAAGCACATACAGTACACAGTTTATGGACTATCTGGGATGATGTATTTAGATCAGATTGAAGAGATTTCTTCTGTGTTTTACCTTTATTTGTCAAGTTTGGGGGGGTCTATTCAAAGCTCCCGTATGAAAAATTGAAATTCAAAGTGAATGCTTTCCAATGAACTGTTAGTGCCAATTGCTGTAGAGTTTGAAACACTAATATAACGACTATTTGGTCTATCAGAGTCCACAGTTCCCTCCCGCCTGCCTCTCCTCCTGCCTTGCAGACTGCTCCAGCACAGGCTTTTTCAGACTCCTTTTTATGTCCCAACGCCTCAGCATTCTCCGAGTTTCTAGTTGTGTCTTTCTTTTCTTTACTACATGCCCTCTAGTCACCCTCTTTAAGGCCTTTTGCTTCCGCTACCTGGTCAATGTCAGTGACTCAGCTGGGATTCCAGCACTGGTCTGCCTGTCTCTGAACTTCAGGTCCCAAGTTTCAAGTGCCAATTGGATTTCACCTAGATGTACTACCGATGTCTCCCCCAAACAATTTATTACACATACACTCACTCACACAAACACACTCTCTCTGTCTCTAAGCAACTCCACTCCCCTTCCTGTGTTCCTGGTCCCTGTGAATGGTACCACTGCCTTCAACAGCAACAAAGTGGGACACACTGATCATGGCTGACATGGCTGAATGCTCTTCTTCCTTGTCCTCTCTAAATACTCACAAAGCTCTGAAATGTCTCTCTCCCTGTTCTTTCCTCACTGCCTTCATTGACACTTTACTTTCTTGGATTCTTGCAAAAGCCTTATTCATTTGATAAACAACACGAGGGCCTTTTATGTTCCAAGCATTTTGCTAGGTCCTGCAGGTATGAGGAAGAATAGAAAGCTCAGTGCATAGTCATAATGTTGCATGGGTTGCCCTCCAGCCAGTCACTGGATAATCATGGGCCACATAATACTTGGGAAGGAGCCTTCCAGCCTCCCCTGCACGTCCCTGGGTTCTGCACAGTCTTTCCGTTGCTGTCAAGCCTTCTGCCCGATCACTGTCCCATGTTAGCCCATGCTCTTGCTGATCCCTAAACATATCCACATTCCCACCACTTTGCATGCATCAGCCCTGCCCTTCTCCACCATTCCAAGAAGCCCTCCTGTTTTGTTGTCTCCTCTCACTTATGGTGTCTCTTCTCTGAATAATAGCTGTTTACTTCCTTGTCCCTCTCCATCATCCTCGGGAGCATGAGTTCTTAGGGAACAAGGACTGTGCATCATTCATTCACTGTGGTATCTTCAGCACCTATCTGGATGCCACACAGGTGGTATTCTCTGAGCACATGCTTTCTGAAAAGAAGTGCTGAGTGAATGCTTGGAAAGCTGTGATCTGGAGCACATTTAGAAGCCCTCTAATAGGCATCACTGTTTTCAGGCAACCCAATGCCATAATTTTACTTACAGGTGCGGGAAGTAAATTTTTTACTTTTTATATAATTGTAAGTAATTTAAAATAAGGCCTTTTGTAGTAAAACATGCAGTATAAAATATGCATACATTTTGCAGCTGAAACTTGAGACAGAGTTTTGCACTTACATGAATGGGTGCAGGTCTCTTCTGCTGAGCCTTTGAAGGGCGTTAAGGGAGAAGGCTCAGGAAGCACTGGCCAAGATAGATCTTAGCCCCATTGATTGACAGGGGAGGAGTTTGCTGTGCTGAACTCCTGTGTAGTCAGCACAAAAAAACAAAAATGGGAATTGCCCCACTCTTGAAACCAGCCGAGACACTTTCTGAACAAAGAAGTGTTTCCTGGGTGTGTAGGGCAGCCGTGGACTACTAAATCTTAGAATTCAGTCTCCTGACTTCCTCTCTTGAATTTCAGCTGAGATTCCCCGTGCCCTAGTTGTGCTTTCTGATGGGGTTTATCTAGTTCGGTTGTACCCTTCAGGTAAAGGGATGCTTCGCTTTCAGTTCCTGCAGGAACCTCCAGCTCAGACTTGGGGCCAAAGGAAAGCTCTTTAAGGAAGGTACTCAGGAAGGCCTATCTCTTCTTGCTACACTAGTTTTCTTACTGGCAATTCAGCAAAAGGCTTATTTTTGACTGTCTTGTTATTTTTTCTTGAAAGCTATAGGCACCTTATTATGCCTTTGCATATGTGCCAGAATTTTTTAAACTTCAAATGAATGTGGCAGATGTTCATAAAAGTTTAGAAAAAGCTACCATAGGAAGACTTTTTAACCATTTTTATGACACTCAAATTCGTTGCACAAAAAGAAATATAAATTACAAACTTGCATTCTTATTTTTAAAAAGGTTATTTTGGGGAAAGACCTAATTCTGGTTCATGCTCTTGCAGGATGCCATAAGGTAACCTAGTCGCCTTACAGAGTCCACCTTCCTCCCAAAGTGACAAATGTATACCTGATCACCATTCTTCTCTCTCCTTCTGCCTGTTTATAGTCTCTCTCTCATTTAAGCAATCTGAGGCTAGTGGCATGTTAGCAGAATAGCCAAGGGTATTGGCATAGACCTAGTTTCTTCTTGGAGAGAATGATCGTGTTAGCTGGCAGCTAGGAAATCCCAAAACACGGCCAGATTCCACAGTGACTGTCCTTTCATTCAAGCGATCTCAATTTAGCTCAAAAGACATTTATGCAGCCCCTCTTCTGTGCCATCTCTGGTAGCAGGTGCCAGGTCATGTCTGGTTGATGGTGCTTCTCCTGTTTGATAATTGAAGACCTGTACACAAACAATGCTTTGTGTACAGACCTCAGAGTGACATGAAGGATGTATCCAGAAGGTATTTTCTATCATTCTCCATGGTGGGATGGTCAGGAATGAGAAGGGAAAGGTGACATCAGTGACATTTCCAGACAGAGGCTCAGGTGGCTTATAAATGAAGCTTCACCCATGCACGGGGCAGTGAAGTAGAGCAGTTAGAATGTGGCACCCCTACTTCCTGCTCACGTGATCATGGACAAGGTAATTGACCTTTGAGTCTCCGTTTTTTCACCTGAAAACTGAGGATAATGGCTGTGTCCCACTTATGGGATCATTGGGAGGATCCAGGGAGATAGTGCCTATCAGATGCCCAGCATAGTACCTGCACATAAAGAGCTCAACAAAGGTCAGTAATCCTTGCTGGTTTTACTTCTTCAGTGGCCTTCAAGCCACTTCTATTGTTAAGCTGATGGCTTTGAAACTGTGTTTTAGGAGCTCTTGGGTTCCCAGGATCATCATCCTCGTATCCTAGGGAAAGACAGTTTCAACACAGTTGGTTTGTGCCTGCCTCGTTTTCTCCTGGTCTGCAATGCAGAGGCATGTACCAGGCTTGGGAGTGACACTTCTGTAGAATTTGACAAATGTACTTCCACACCCCTACTTGACCGCTTCCCTGCTGTGCTAACTCCAGCCATGATACTTCGTCTTTCCGTATCTTACCTTCTACCTCTCTGAGAGCGGAGTCCTGTATATGGACAGCATATCCCAGTGTCTGGCATTTGGTAGGGACACAGCATACGTTCCTTTCCACAACAGAGTTCTGAGAGCCTTCTGTGAACCAGGCACCGTGTTTATACTAGGTGCTCTGTATAAAAATGGTGAATGTGATATAATCTCCACCTTCACAGGGTTTTGTCTAGACCAGATACAGAAAAATATAACGCGATTGTCGTGAATTTGGGATGCTGTAAGCTCTGGGAGGAGAGACGCT